GCCAGCGCTGGAGCAGAGCCCCGGAGACGGCCCTGGGGCTTCGAGCAGGACCCGGCCGCCGGGCACCGTACGGCACCGCACCACCGGCACGCGTGCAGGCCGCTGGCTCCTCGGCAGCCAGCGCGCATGCGACCCTGCGCAGCAAACGGGTGCGCAGCCCTGCGCCGCGAATGCAAGTACAGCCCCCCGCACTGAAAACGCAGGCGCAGCCCCCTTCTCTGCCACGCAACACGTGCACTGCCCAGCCCCGCTCGTGCAAGAGCTCGTGCAAGAGCAGCCCCGCTCTCGCACACCCCGCGCGGCCCCTCCACGGCGCAGCTCCTCCGTTGCACACGCGCTGCACGACTCTGTTGCACGCCCTGCGCAGAGCACCCGCCGCGCACACCCGTGGGTGGGCAGCACCAGGACGCGAGAGTGCGGCACTGGGGGGGCAGTGGGCACCGGGAGGACAGGGTACCAGCGGGGCGGGGACAGACAGGGGATGCTGGGGGGCACCGGGGGCCGCTCACCTTCCAGGGCCAAGTCGCAACGACGCCGGCGCAGCTCCAGGTCGGCGAGCTCGCTGAGCAGGGCGATGCCGGGGATCCCTGAGGCGTGGGGAGCGGGCGAGGGGGGGGCCGGGGGGGGTTCCCCGGGCGAGCCCAGCGCCGGCAGCTCCCCCAGGTCGATGCCAGCGGCAATCAGCGCCTCCAGCCCGCCGGGGCAGCCCTGTCGCCCAGCGGAGCCGTCGCCATCCTCCTCGTCGCAGCTGCCCTCCGGCTGTGAGCCATCGCTGTCGGCCTCGTCTTCCTCCTCCTCCTCCTCCTCCACAGTGGGGGCCAGTGGGGACGCCCCCACCACGGGCACCGGGCACTGCTGCTCTGGCGGGCTCTGCTCTGGCACTCCCTGAGCCGCCTCCCGGCGCACCCCAAAAGGCACCGGCGCCCGCTCCTCGGCGGCCCCCGCGGCCGGGGCCGGACCCCGCTCCCCGCAGAGGGGTCCCGGGGCGAGGAGGAGGTGATGGCGGTGCAGCAGAGCCCCGGGACCCTCGACCATCGCCCCGCCGGTCGGCGGCTCCCGCGGGGGGCCCGGCTCCCGCAACACCTCGCCGGCGGGGCTGAAGGTCCGGGACTGCTCCGGCTCAGCCGGCGGGGAGCCAGCGTGCATAGTGTCAGGGTCAGCCGGCTCGGCGGAGTGCGCCTCGGAGAAGCCCATGCCGGCAGCGGGGTAGCTGTAGCCGGGGGGCAGGTCTGCGGGGAAGCGGGTGACGCTCAGCGGGGAACCGCCGGCACCTTCCGGCACCGCGGCCACCCTCCTCCTCCTCACCTCCCCGGGTCCTACCTGGTTCCAGGGACTTGGGGTAGTCGCGGGGTGGCTGCCCCTCTCCGCGCTTGTCCTCGCCGTCGCTGCCCTTGCTCTGGACGGGCAGGGGGCTGTCGGCCGGGGAGCGGGGGGCCACGGCGGAGCTGGCGGCAGGGCAGACGGGTAAAGTGCAGGGGGCCGCGGGGAGGGCCACGGGGCACTTGGCCGGGTGCCGCAGGGCCGGAGAGTGGCAGCAAGGGGACAGCTTGGGGGGCCCGGGGGCCGCCGAGGACAGGCCCTTGGCCGGGGGGTTTAAGGCAACTGCTTTGTGGGAGGGTTTGAGGGGCTTCTCGGGACCCCCGTCCTCCAGCTCCAGGGGCTGCTCCTCCGGCTTCCGCTGTGGGGGACACCGAGGTCGGCACACGCCAGCCCCACCGCCCGGCCCCTGCCCCCCAGCCCTGCCCAGCACCCTAC